AGGGGTGATCACCCCCCCCCCCCCCTTCAGGGGGGGGATCTGCCCTTCGGGCGGATCATCCCTTCGGTAAGATCTATCTAAAATCCAATTACGGGAATTGATATTAGAACGGGAACAGTATTATCTTGATACTCTCATACCTGGATACAATATATCGCGAGTAGCAGGAAGTCCTTTAGGCTATAAACATACAGAGAAAGCACGGTTTAATATGAGTTTAAGTAGAATTGGAGATAAAAACCATATGTTTGGAAAATATTTATCTGAAGCACATTTGGCTGCATTAAAACTTCCTAGAAGTGAAGAAGTAAAAGCAAAATTGAAAGGACCTAAATCTGATTCACATAAAGCTGCTTTAAGTCTTGCTCAAAAGGCTTCCCAGCGAAGCCCCCCGCACACCTGCGGGGGCTCCGCGGGGGAGGGGATGCCCCGGGACCCCGGGGGGGGGGAGGCTATTGATAGATATGGTGGAAATAATCCTTTCTTTGGGGAAAGCCACAGTGAGGCAACTTTACAGAAAATTAGTGCAGCAAAAAAAGGTATTTCTTTAAAAGCTTCCGGCCGCCGGCCGGATGCATCCCCTCCCTCCGGGGCCGGCAGGCTTGCGGGGAGGGGGGAAGCTGAACATAAGGTTAAAATTTCTAAAAAAGTTTATGCTTACTCAAATAATGATTTGGATACTTTATTATTTACTTTTATTTCTCAAAAAGATGCAGCGGTATACTTTAAATGTAGTGAGAGTACAATTTCTAGATATCTTGACAATAAAAAATTATATAAGGATCAATGGGTTTTATCCTCTTTCCCAATTTCTAAGATATAGAGGCTTCCCAGCGAAGCCCCCGCACACCTGCGGGCTCCGCGGGGGGAGAGGGGATGCCCCGGGTACCCGGGGAGGGCTGTTAAATTTATACATACATAATAATAAGCTAAATTATTTTTTTAATATAATGCTAACTATAATAAACATTGTTAACAACCCGTTAGAACAATTTGAAATTAAAGAGTTCATATACTTCGGTGGACCTTTACTGGGTGCAAGATTATCATTAACTAATATCGGTTTATACCTTATGATTGTAACTTTCTTAATATACGCAATGGGTCGTTTATCCTTAAATAACAATAAAGTAGTACCATCTAGATTCGCGTTAATACAAGAAAGTTTATTCGGTAGTATTTTAGGTATGATTAATTCAACTATTGGTAAAAAAGGACAAGCTTACTTACCTTTTTTATACACAATTTTCTTATACGTATTATTCTCTAATTTAATCGGATTAGTTCCATATTCTTTTACACCTAGTTCACATTTTTTATTCGGTATATCATTATCAGTGGCTATTTTAATTGGTGTAACTATCTTAGGTTTCCAAACTCATGCATTTAAATTCTTTGGGTTATTTGTTCCAGCAGGAACTCCTTTAGGATTAGTACCAGTTTTAGTAATGATTGAGACAATCTCATATGCCGCTAGAGCTTTAAGCTTAGGGTTACGATTAACTGCGAATATGATTGGAGGACATGTTCTGTTAAAAATCTTTTCAACTTTCACGTGGAAAGCTGTAATAGGTGGAGGGCTTATTACTTTAATTAGTATTATCCCGTTCGCGTTTATAATCGCGTTTACTGGGTTAGAAATAGCTATTGCTTTCATACAAAGTTACGTTTTCACGATGTTAACGGCTTCTTATCTTAACGATGCAATTAATTTACATTAATAAATTTTTATTATATTAAAATGGCTTTTAATATATTATTAATCTTATTAATACCCCCGACTTATTTATCTTTCATACCTATAATATATTATACATGGTATATTCTAAGAATACTTTATATAACAAGCCATTCCGTCCATTATGCTAATACATATATAACAAAGAAACTTGGGCAGCTATTCCATCCTTAATGTTAACACATGGACGGTGGTTTAAATCCTCGACTTTCCTTGTAAATCCATAAAGTGTGTCAAATAAATAAGTATAATATTAAAAATAAAATATGTCATATATTGTAAATCAATAATAGATGATTTAACAATCATTTTTGGGGATAAAAAAAACTCTTAAAAAATACAATGATTTTAAAAAGTATCCGCAAAGGTTTTAATAAAGCTAAAAATATACCAACACTTCCTAATAACCTAATAAATTTACATTATAGTATTCCTATTAGAATTTTAAGATTTATAGGGGGGTTTATTCTTTAATATTCTTAAGCAGGAACATTGAAAAATTACACCCATTCTTCCTATATTTAGGTATTCTAGTCATGATAGTCTATACTACCTATTCTGTGTTTATATTTTATTGTAGAATTAAACATATAGTCTCTAAATTATCTTCGTCAGAAGTAGAAGTTAGAAACTCCCCACTAGACAAAATTGCTACATTCACTACAAAACTAGTGTTATGTGCTAAGGGGCTATGTGAAATTGCAGGACCTATTGGGCACTGCTTGGAGGGATGACAGCTGGGGATGCACTATTGGAGCATAAAGGAAGACCTGCTATATTCATACCATTCTTAGCTAATATCATAATACCCGACACCCCCGAAAGTTTTAATATAAAAGAACGTAAAGAAATATTAAATGAATTAAACAAGCTTCCGGCCAGCCGGCCGGATGCTTGCCCCCCTCCGGGGCAAGCTAGAAAATAAATTCACTTCTGGTCGAACCCCCGGGAGACCCGGGGTTCTTTAAATTCTGAAAAAGAATATCTTAATAAATTTAAAACATCTGGATTTTTATCTCCCGAAGATATTAATAATATTGAAAATGAGTTTATCTCAAACAATAGATTACTACAAATAGAAAAAGAAAAGTTATTAGATAAATTACAGACCCCGGAGGGGTCATCCCGGGGGGGGGGAAGATTAATTTACATAATACCAATAATAGCTTAACTAATTCTAAATAATAAATAATAAAGTTTTATTATGGACTTATAAGGTTATACCTTTATAAAGAACTGATGGATAGAAGGGAACTATCCTGTATAACTAAATATAAGTTATACATTAACACCCAACCGTTTATTTATGAAATTCTTGACATATACGGCCTCTGGTGTTATAATAAACTATAATTAAAGGACCGCCCGGGCCCGGGCGGTCCGAACAGGGTGCACATAAAAATAAAACTCATATTTTCTTAATATAAATGCCTGTGTGATAATACTTTAGATCTAATGAGATCTGCCCGCAGGGCTGATCCCCGCCTCCGGCGGAGATCTTTCCTTTTGAAAAAAGGAATGATCACCCCCCCCCCCCTTCGGGGGGGGAGATCTGCCCTCCCGGAGGGAGGGCTGGTCCCCGCCTCTCAAAGAGAGGCGGAGATCAAAACAAATTATAGTATTTATGTAGGGGATACTTGAATCAACAAAAAAAGCCCTAAATAATATTGATTATATTATTAGGACCCCCCCCCCGGGGATCCGGGGGGTCCGAACAGGGGATAAAAAATTTAAATTAATTGATTTATCCCGGGCCCACCCCTGCATTTCTGCGGAGGGCCCCGGGCTCAGATTTAATTTTATAATTTTATATAAAGATGGTTAAATTCATTCAATAATTTGGTTTTTGCCATAGGCCGGATTAAGTTGTTTTATGGACTACCTAAAATTAATTACTCGGTGAGATTAAATAATGTAATAGTTAGAATGTTCACAAAAATGAGAAACTTATTTAGAGTTTATGTTAATTCTTATCAGTATAATACATTAAATTTCTATATAAAATCCCTGTATTAACATATTTTTCTAATGTATGATGAGAAATCTGGTCGAACCCCCGGGAGACCCGGGGTTCTTTAATTCTTTAGTAGCTACCCCGGGTCCCCGGGGTTGCATCGGGCCGAGGGCCCGAAGCTATATTTATTGATTTATAAAAACTATTGAAACTTCTATCAGGGTTTAATGCTATAATAAATCTTGAATTAGTCGCATATCTTGGATATAATCTTTTAAGTTCTTCTTGCCGGGGGGAATAATAAAGGGGAAACTGGGATTTATATGTGGACTCATAAGGAGTCAGGAAAATATATGCCGGTTCTGCCGTGGATTTATCTAAACGATTAAAAAAACCCCCCCGCCCCCGCATGCTGGCCTCTCGGGGAGGAGGGGTTCCTCCAGATTATTTTTCTAAAAGTCATTTAAATCGTGATAAAAGTATGTATATTTATAAGGCTCTTCTTCATCATAGTTATTCCGCATTTTCTTTATCAATTTTAGAGTATATTGATCTTTCACATTTATCTAAAGAAGAAGCACGTAAATTGATTTTTGAACGGGAACAACATTATTTTAATAGTCTGGATCCTAAATATAAGATTCAAAAAATTGCTGGTAGTTCTCCCCGTAGGGGGTGAACCCCGCCTCCGGCGGAGTTCTTTAGGACAAACACGTTCAGAGAAGTCTAAAGTTTTAATGAGAGAAGCCCGTTTAGGTACATTTATTTCTGCTGAGACTCCGCCGGAGGCGGGGTCCCCGGCCCCAGGGCCGGAGACTAAACCCCCAAAGGGGGTTTGGTCATCGCCTGAAAGGCGAAGACTAAACCGCGAAGCGGTTTGGTCCCCCACCTCCGGTGGGAGACTAAATGAATTTAATAAAATTCATTTGGTCCCCGTCTTTTTTTAAAAGACGGAGACTAAACCGCGAAGCGGTTTGGTCCCCACCTTCGGTGGGAGACTACCCGGCCAGAGGCCGGGTGGTCCCCGGCCAAATAAATTTGGCCGGAGACTAAACCCCGGAGGGGGTTTGGTCATCGCCTGAAAGGCGAAGACTAAATGAATAAAATTCATTTGGTCCCCCGCCCGAAGGGCGGGAGACTACTCCCTGCTGAAGCAGGGGGTGGTCCCCGCCCCGGGGGGCGGAGACTCAAAATATGGTAGGGTTAAAATATGCCGTCATAATCAATTATAGTTAGTTTAAAAATAAGGAATACTTATTAACACCCCCCTATTTTTTTTTAATGGTTGAAATAAATAAGATAATAAAAGGCTTCATGGGCAAGTTTGGTAAGCCACAACTCCTTCACAGTTGAATCACCGGTTCAAGTCCGGTTGAAGTCAAAAAAAAAAATGGTAAGACGCTACTCCTTCACAGTTGAATTACCGGTTCAATCCCGGTTGAAGTCAAAAAATATTTTGCCTACTTTATTAGATTAAAAAGGGTTAATAATAATATTAGCTTCCCCCTCCCCCCTACGGGGGGGAAGGGATACATCCCCCCTCCCCTGCCCCGCGGAGCCCCCCCGCGGACTTGCGGGGGCCGACCAGCTTCCGGCTGGTGAGCCGGATGCATCCCCCTCCGGCGGTGGTAGAGGAGAAGCCTTGATTAT